CTCAGCCCTTTTTTTTTTCTTCTTTTTGTGTGTTGTGTATCTGACATGCACAGTAATTTTAGTTTTAAGATTAAAAATACTGTTGTGCATCAGAAAATGTTCAAATTTCACATGCGAAATGGCCAGATAATTATCAAATGTTTCTTAAGAAAAAAAACTATATTTTATCTCTTATTTTCAGTGATGAATCTCTGTTCAGGTTTGGTTGATTTGACTGATCTTGTAACCACATTATAAAAATTAGGAAATAAATTGAAATTATGCCTTTTACATTCTAGAATGACTATAAATTATAACACGAAAACATAAAGTGTTTAGACTAAATAGCTGAAATCTCATAACATTATATATATTTATTATTTTTATTATATTGACCTGTCAGCCGTGCCTGGCTAACAATATAGAAGTTACAAATGACACGGCCCACATGCATTCATGTTACGGTATCCAATAATATAAAACTGATCTTTAATCTTTACAAAGTAACTTCTCTTGGCTGTGTTTTAGTGGGCTAGTATTTTGTAAAATACAGTCACATTTCAATTATTATACATTATATATGTATATAGATTATTGGTATTTAGAAATAAGTTCTTAAACTTATTTTTCTTAAAACATAGAAGAGTAACTAAAGAAGTAAAGCAAACAGTTATCTCTTCTAGTTATGACCTTTGTACTTGGTTGCTGCTTCACGTTGGTTGCTAAGCTTTTTAAAATTTTGCACGTGGAAGATATGAAACAAAATATTTGTTTTTAGGTTTTATACATACAGTTGAATAACCAAAAAATCCTAAAGTACTACATCAATACCATAGAATTCCACTATAATTTATCAAGCTTAGTAACTAAGCTGTATTTCAGTCTTAAAAAGTATGAAATTTTGAGCAGACTAAAGATACAACTTACCTCTTTGAAATCTTGGTTTGAAAGAAAGAAATGGCATCCAAGCATATTAAAATGGCTGAGAAAGCCACAAGGGAAACATTCTGAGCTTCTGATTAGATATTCATGTCATATATAGAAGTAAGTGTATATAAGGGACTGTTTCCAAAAATGGAAAGAGGTGGACCGGGTGCCACTGTGTTTGATTTATTACATAAGCAATATCTTAGCAAACTGAAAAGATAAGAGGCTCGTATTTTATATTCTAGCTTATCAATATCAGTAACTTGAGTTCTTAATTTATACGAAACTGTAGACTTACAGACATCTAATTTGAACCAGTGCTGCATTCAACAAACCATGTGACACACAAAATCGATGTTTAACTGTGTTTTTTTTATATTTAGTTTTAAATTAAAAAACTGAATAAAGTATAATACTAAAATTGGAATTTTAATCTACACTTTGATACCAAACTTATTGACGTAAATTCGTGAAATAGTAGTTCAATAAAATTTTCAATGCAAGTAAACAAACGAGATAACATGGCCTTTCACCTGTGACCTGTCTGGAAAGAGTTAAACACATTGGAATCTCTTTTCCCTGCTTGAAATATGAAGTCTGTGTTTTAGTGGAATACTCCTAAACAAGCTGTAATGTGAAACATTGAGTTTCCAATTAAAGTAAAATAACAAATTTGGTGTTATAAGGTTGTTTGTTTTTAGTATTAAAATTTCTTCTATATATCAATATGCACTACAGAAATTAGATAATGAAGTACACTTCTAGATTGACAGTGTTTATGTTCCTCTTGTATGTTACAAAGTACACTTCTAGATTGACAGTGTTTATGTTCCTCTTGTACGTTACAAAGTACACTTCTAGATTGACAGTGTTTATGTTCCTCTTGTACGTTACAAAGTACACTTCTAGATTGACAGTGTTTATGTTCCTCTTGTATGTTATGAGACAAAGAATAAAAGTAGTTTTAATGTGATGAGTTTGGTATTAAAGTTTTATTAATTTAATAAGAAAGGGTTTTTATTCTGTTTTTTATGGCAATACAGGAGAACAAAAGAACAGTACCTTGACCTCAACACTATCAGCAAACAGCAATGACTTTTTTCCCAAAACAAATGCTTTGGGTTCAGAAAAAACAGGGGGGGAGGTAATGTGTTTTCAGCTTTATTAATGTTGGTTGTTAAGTAGAAAATTATACACCAATGTCGAAAATAGGTTTTTGTGGTTTGGTTTGATATCTATGAAGTCATAGGATAATTATATTGTTATTAACAAAGCACAAATGTGATAAAAATTAACCATTTAAATTTAAATTTCTGTTGTAGTTGTAATTATGTCTGAAATCATTGAATGTTTGTTTCTATAGATAGTAAGTTTATATTAAAATCTAGAAAGCTGCTTAAGTATGTAAGAATATTCTTAATATCTCTTAACAGTTCTCAAATCTTTCAACATATCAAGGTGGAGGAGGAGGATACACTAGCCCAGGTAATTCATACTTAGAAAATCACATGTAGATTACTGGAGTTCTAAAACTCCTATTAAAAATTCTACTCTGCGGAACTAAAATCCATTGTTCATACTAATGTAACTAGAATGTTAATGATTAGTTGTGTCTATTCTGGTATGTTGTGTCTTTTTATGAGAGCAAATAACATTATGAAGATTTAAGAAAATCTGTCTCATCTCTTGTAACTAAAATGTTCAGATATATAATTTTGTGTTGTTGTATGTTTTAGTAACATTTGTTTTAGTTCGAGTGATAATAAACAAATAATAACAATGCTCAAATAAAAACTTAATTTATTCAAACGTTTACTGTTAGTAACTACCTGATGTAAGCCTATGGCTTAAATGTTTCAAATGAATTTAAGGTTTGTGTTTGATGGGGGTGATGACACTCTACCTGATATAAATATTTATTTAATGTGTATAAACAAAAGAACTATAAAAAAAGTTCAGCCAGTTTTTGGTCTTTTATTTCTATTTTTTTATCGATCAGATAGTTTGAAAACAGTGAATGTTTGAAATTATTGGTTTCAAAACTAACTGATTTTTTTTTGTTTTACAACTTCCAAGCATCTAAAGCTAACAGAATCATAAATATATCATTTGAAAGGTGGGATTGTTCTTTATATCAGTCTGTTTTTCTTACAACTTCATTTCTTATATGGACAGTAAATTTCTAAACTTTTAGTTATCAGAAATCACACATTTTTTTATCGCACGTCTTGGAGTAAACTAACTATACCGTGATTTTGTATTTTTGCATGCTATGTTAAAACAGTAAATCCATTTTATTATTTGTTTCCATACTTGTTTGTTATTTTGTAGAATAATTATTTTAATAGTTTCTTCTTTGCTTTACAAGACCTTTCCCTAGTAATGTGATGCTCTGGAGTCTTGCAGTGATTGGCCTTAGAGCTTATCATGGGTATCTTTTAGACAGCTGTATGTAATTTCTGAAAGGAATATGGGGGTAACTTTTATATAATGATATAATAAGATAAATGCTATATTTATTTCAGTTATAGCAATATATTATGTCACAACTTCTTTCAAGAAAAAGGGCTATCTCGTGATATTGTTTAGCCCGTGGTTTGTAAAATTGTAAATTTACTAATAACAAATCTTACTTAGGGTAAGAAATGTTCAGTGATTGTTATGTTTGGTGTGTCTGTGTTGCAGATATGGTGGCCACTACAATATTGTAACAGATGTTTATCAGATACTGAATTGAATTTTTTCTGTAACACTAATGAGAGCTTAGGTTTTAGCAACTTTTTGAAGCTACTAATTACTTATTCAGTAATTAATGATATTCAGTTGACTATAATCTTGATTATAAAATGTATTGACAACTTTTCAATACTAAGTTGAACACTTTTGGTTCTAATGCTGAGCTGTATTAATTAGGTAATGCTTCTGCTGGTTTCAATGGAACAGCAGTGGTCAGTTCTAGTAATACCTCCTCAGGAAGTAATATTTCTAGCCCTAATAGAACGAGTCCAGAAAGTTCATGGTCTGGATCGATTAACCAACAAAAGGTATGTGTAAGGAGATTTATTGCTGTTTTTTCTTCTTTTGGTTAATGTAGTGTTTGCTCCAAGCTACTAAGACAGGTTGTTTATGATCTTATGGTAAACTGTCTTGTGATGTCACACATTTATTCACCTCCTAAAAGCAACCATGAATGAAATGCACAATTCAAGAAAGCAGGTATTTTACGATTAACTTTATTTATCTTAAAAGTTGTAACATTTGTTTTTCAGCTCTTTTTTGAAGGGTGGTTAATGAAAATTGTTCCAAAATGCGACATTAATTTCTTGATGACCTAATATATACATATATAATAATTGAAATGTGACTGTATTTTACAAAACACTACTCCACTAAATCACAGGCAAGACAAGTTACTTTGTATAGACCAAAGGTGAGTTTTACTTTGCATGATAGATAGCCAAGATGTGAAATAAAAAAAAAAAGACATGAGAAAAACATTGCTTCACAAACCTTAAAGTCTTAATAAAAAAAATTTAACTTGCGTATGAAAGCATTGTAATGTTTACTGATAATCTGACAAACTTCGTTAACACTTGCTTACTAATTTAAATGTTATAGCATGAAAACTATAACAAGCACAAAATTATTATGAGGTCGGTCCTTGGAACTGGGCCAGTGCTAAAAGAGTTAACAGAATATTACACTTGAAAGAAAGAAAAACAAAATATTTAACGTAGAACATAATTTATCTAATTGTTTTGGTTTCTTTGTTTTAAATCTAATACATTGATAATCTATCACTGTAGGTTTACCTGAGTTAAAAGCTGATATATCCACGGAGACATCAAACCACGCTGGTGACGTTCGCTAGCAGTCCTCATTACTTCTGGAGTAATCTTGGGGAGTTTGGGAATCTCAATGCTCGTGGTTCTGCAAGTCTGTAGCTTATCCTTAATAGGAAATTTTATATCCACAATTTTAACAGTTTGCAATTATTCACACTACCCATACAATGTTATAATAATTCAATAGGCTGATTAGCGGCTAACTCTAATGACCTAACACATACACACACCATAAGACAAAGGTAAGATAACACTTATTCATTATTTTATATGTTATCAGCCTGTTCATTAACAGACAGCAGATAGTACAATTACTGCCTATAAACATGTTATTCATTGAAAGTATTTAATTAAGCTAGTTCTTCAAATAGTACAGAGATATAACCATACATCACGTATGATAGTTAAACAAACCACCTAAATGTCATGTTAGTATAGCCTGTATAATGTGTAAAGTTTAGTATACTCAAATCCCTTATAGTAATGGCACACGACGAGACACACGTTTGGCGTGTAATGCTGTTTCAATACAAGACGGGAAATGGGTTTATGGAAATGTTCGTAAGTGTCAACGATGGTTCAGCAAATTTCGTTCAGGTGACTTTAGGCTTAAAAACTGTGATGTCAAGGGCCAACATGTTGGAATTGATATTGATGCTCTGAAGACGCTTGTTGAGTCTAACCCAAGGCAACACACTCGTGAAATGACCCTGACATTGCATGTCTCTCATGAACCAATACATAAACATCTAAGGAATATGGGAAAACTCCATAAAGAAGGTGTTTGGGTGCCTCACGAACTCTCCAATGATCATTGTTTCCAACGTGTGAACGTTGCTTCGTCTCTTCTGGTGCGTAATGCTCATGAACCATTTTTGGACAGAATTGTCACCGGTGATGAAAAATGGATTCTCTATGCAAATATTAAATGCCAAAAACCACTTCTGACCCCCAAACCTGGACTCCATCCACAGAAAGTGATATTTTGCATTTGGTGGGACATCAAAGGAGTAATTCATTTTGAACTTCTCAATCCACAGCAAACTGTCAATACAGAGATCTATAGTCAACAACTGGAACATTTAAATCGAGCATTTCATCAAAAAATGCCCTTCACTCGTCAATCAGAAAGGTGTTCATCTCCTCCACGACAATGCACATCTATATGTGGCACGTTTGATGCAACACAAGATTATGGAGTTGGGTTGGGAAGTTCTCCCCCACCCACCGTATTCTCCCGATATGGCACCATCAGATTACCATCTTTTTCGTTCCCTGCAACACTATCTTGATGGGAAAACATATGCAAATGTGGAAGGTGTTAAAGAAGACATCGACATGTTTTTTGCTTCAAAGCTAAGTGATTTCTTTAATTAGGGCATTAACAACCTGAATGTAAGATCGATAAGAATGGAGACTATTTCATTTAATAAATGTTTTGTTTTGATACATAAGTTGTTTGAGTTTTTTTATCTAAAAAAAAGCGACATTAATTTCTTGACGAACTAATAGATTATTGCTATTTTGAAATAAGTTCTTAAACTTATTTTTCTTAAAACATAGAACAGTAACTAAAGAATTAAAGCAAACAATTATCTCTTCTAATTACAACCTTTGTACTCGGTTGCTGCTTGACATAGGTTGCTAAGCTTTTAATAAATTTGCACATGGGGGATATCAAACAAAATAATTTTTTTAGGTTTTATATATACATTTGAATAACTAAAAAATCATAAATTACTACAATTACTGTAATTTAGGAAGCTTAGTAACTAAAATGTATTTTAGTCTGAAATTTCGAGCAGACTAAAGACACGCCCTACCTCGTTGAAGTATTGGCTCAAAAGAAAGAAATGGCACCCAGCTCATTAAAATGGCTGAGAAAGCCACTATGGGAACATTCTGAGCTTTCGATTGGTTATTCTTGTCATATATAAAAGTAAGTGTATATAAGGGAGTGTTTCCAAAAATAGAAAGAGGTGGGTGGCATGCCACTGTGTTTGATTTATTACATGAGCAACATCTTAGCAAATAAGAGGCTCTTATTTTATATTCTAGCTTGTCAGTATCGGTAATTTGAGTTTCTAATTCATACGAAACTATAAACTTGGTATTTTGACTTCACAAACATCTAATTTGAACACTGCTGCATTCAACATACCATGTGACACACAAAAATCAGTGTTTATCTGTGTTTTTTTATATTCAGTAATATATAGTATTAAAATTTGTAATATAATGTACAGTTTGATACCTAACTTATTAACATAAATTCATGAAATAGTAGTTCAATAAAATTTTGAATGCGAGTCAACAAACGAGATGACATGGCCTTTCACCTGTGACCTGTCTCGACAGGGTTAATCTAACTGGTTGCAACTGTTGTTATTGGGTGTCCTGAATTTTAGAACATATGTTCTAAGTAAACTAAGTGGTTACATTGATTACTAGTGTTTCAGAACTTTGTCTCGTGAGTTTTCTTATATCTACTTTGAGCCTTGTTTGTGTCATTGTCATTAGCGACTGTAACTTAATTGCTGTTTGATCAGGTGTTCAGAATTTTATGTAGCTGATGCACATCAAAGTTTTTCTTAATCTTATTTTTTTAGTTTTTATAACTGCTTAAATAGATGATATAAGAAAATCAATTTTACAGGAATGTAAAAATTTACAGCAAATCTGATAATGCAAATTCATCCATTTTGCTGGTCTTTTCAAGAAAATTTACTTCACTTTTGAAAGCTTTTCCTGGATAGTCTTGACTGAAATTGCTTCCATGTTAAGTTTTCTTTAGTTGTATTGGAGGTAGCTTCATTGATCAATATTGTCAGGGAGTTGGAACCTAAACCTAATGGTTGCTATTCTCCTCTCAGGGTGAAATTAAACTACCTGTTACGATTGAAGAAGACATTCCCAGAGACGTACCTCTTGGAGCAGTATTGTTTAGGCCTCTGAGACAGATGGTCTATGCTATCTTGTTTAATTTGCACCATCAACATTTCTTAGCCAAACAAAAGAAAGAAAAGGAAGGAGTGGAAGGTAACATGATTATTAGTATTGATACTTAAGTAGATTTTTGATAACTTTTTGTCCTCGACTAGTGGATAATAAAACTAGATAATCCAGCTTTCTCTTATTAGGCAACGGAACTGGACTTGGACATCACAGTTATTTTGAGTATAAAAAATTTAAATACAGGAATCTTCTACTACATGTGTATTTTCACAAGTATTGTGTACAGGATTTTTCTACTTAATTTGACTGAAGAAAAACTATATTGCTGGAATTAGTATTCTGGACATAAGGGCTAGTACTGTGCAGGGATATATGGTCATCTTGTCTTCCCATGTGTGTCTTATTAGGTTCCTGAAACAACTGGCATTACGTGGAGTAATATATTATCTGATGTGTTTGATACAGTGAGAAAGACATGTTTTAAACCTCCTAAGTATGCAGTGATAATATTTTAATTGAATGCTGTATTTTGATACGTTTTTTTTATAATTATGAAATTTGAACAGATTTGATTGTGTAGAAAAAAAAAGCCTCAAACTAAATTACTTGTTTTAAATTAACGACTTTAATTACTTTGTAACCTCTTCTGTATGTTTCTTTTGTTTGTTTGTTTTTTGAAAATATTAAAATGTGGATAATTCTAGTTTGAAAATCAACTGAGAGTAAATTCAGAGTGATCTGAAATATTGTACAAAATCACAAAACCGTGTAGAATTAAAATACTTTCGAAAGTCTCGAGTAAAGAATTAGCTTGAGATTTGTTTTTATGAAATCATAAAATCAGCTTATAGACAATAAATTAGACTAATTCTACCGTGTCTGCAAAAATTCCTCTAAAAACAAGTTTATTACTGTCACTCTACAGAAAAAGTACCGGATGTGATAATTAAGGAGTGGACCTGGAACAAACATAAGCAGTACAGTAGTCCAGATTTGGTTCCTGCTGTACCTCTGGGTTGGGCTGTTCCCACTGTACAGCGGTTGTGGTGTGGTACCGCACCTGATGAGAAGAAACGTCGACTAAGAGCTTTCCTAACGTGCATGCACAGTGACACGCCGTTGATGTTAAACACAGCATATGTTCAGCAGCACCTTCTTGTTTTGTGTTGTGTATTAAGGTAACGTGTTTGTTAATCAGAACATGAATAACTGTATTAAGTTACTTTATACTAGTGTGTGTGTGTGTGTTACTAATCAGTCCAAAATGCTACAAGAGGTTCTAAAAAATATTAAAAATTGAATGGTATACAGTTTTCTTTGTAGATACATTTGTATATATTATCACAAATTTCTTTACATGTGATTCAAAACTGCTTGCCCCCTAATGGCATAGCGGTATGTCTGTGTGCTTACAATGCTAGAAACCGGGTTTCGATACCCGTGGTGGGCAGAGCACAGACAGCTCATTGTGTAGCTTTGTGCTTAACTTCAAACAAACAAAACTGCTTATAGACATGCTTCCTGCCAACATTAGCATTGCATTTTACGTACCTTAAACATATTAATGCATTCTCAAGTGTTTGGTTTTAAAAAATGTTAGCTGTGCATCATGTGTTTAAATATTTGATTGTGTACTAAGATATCTAATCCATTGCTAAGTTTTTGGAAAGGTGAAATGGGTTCTAAATTTAAATGTTACAGATACATGATGACGGATGAACGACCCATTTTCCGAAAGTACGAACTAGATGCCTTCCTTGCTCAAGCTGTGTCTCCACATCTTACAAATGCAGAATTTACTCAGAACATGCAGGTAAGTCTTCATAAAAAAATAAAAGTTTAAACAACAAAAGTGTTTAGTGAATATTGTAGAGATATTTTAGTTTTGATACTTCCATTCTTTAGCTACATAGACTGCCTTGATATATATTTTGATTTATACCACATTTTCTCTATTCACACTTTTTAAATAAAAAAGTATGACAAATGGTAACAAACTCATTAGCTTCAGTCAGTTCATATTAGATGAATAACTCGTGTATTTATGTACTTTTATTAATATTTATTGAGTATGAAAAATAGATCTGGGACCCAAACTTGTTGGCCACAGCATCAACTTGCTGTAGTTCAACTTGTAGCTTGCTAGACTTGTTTACCCCACTATCCTTGTTACTAATGAGGTTGTCTCATTCCTCCTGGGCCCAGCATGATCAGGTGGTTAAGGAGCTTGGCTCCCAATCTGAGGGTCACGGGTTCGAATCCCCATTCCACCAAACATGCTTGCCCCTTTCAACTGTGGGGGAGTTATAATGTGATGGTCAGTTTCACTATTCGTTGGTAAAATAGTAGCCCAAGAGCTGGCGGTCAGTGATGATGACTAGCTGCCTTCCCTCTACTATTTCACTGCCAAATTAGGGATGGCTAGCGCAGATGCCCTCGTTTAACTTTGCACGAACTTCAATCAACAAATATCATTCCTCCTGTGCAGCTCTGAACCACATGATAAATGTGTCATGTTTATTTGGACAAAAACTTCTTAATTTTCTGCTGTTAGTTTCAGTATATGTATATATTGTCAAAACTAATTTTGCAACTTAACTATGTAGAATTATTTTACAGTAAAATTGTTATTAATAATTGTTTTATTGTTTTGGTTTTCTTGAAACTCCCTATCCTCCACCAACATTATTGGGTTTCTTACTTGAAAGTTAAGTAAGATATTTTTATTAAACATTCTTACACTTTTTCTTTACTCGTTCCTTTAGTTTCTTAATAATTCTTCATTTTTATTTCGTATCTAGTGCTGACCCACATGCTACATTTTAGTGCTTCAGTATTATAAATATGTAAATTTTTGTGGAGAAGCACCAAAATAATAGGTATAAAATCTAAGAAATCATGTTTAAAAATTTGACGTTTTTGTTATATTCTTTATGATTCTTATTTTTGAAACAGAACTGTGTGTATTTTGAGTAACACATGGTCTAAAAGTACACATTTTCATTATTGTGTTGTTTTGAATGTGGATGTTTTTCTCTTATTTTGCTTAGAAATTATGAAATGAAAAAAATATCACACACTGTCTCCTTTCTGATAAAAAAGTTTAATAAATACATTTACTGGTAATAACAACACATTTTCAACTACACAGTGCTGACTGGCAATATCCCTTAAAGAAATATTAACGAGTTAGAATTTACTTTCAGATACCAGTTATCACCAACAGAGGTGTTGAGCTAGCCACTTTATTTATGCAAGGAGTTGAGTGTGCATTGTTTGTTAACGATAGCTGTGGTGCTCCACTTCCATGGTTGATGTGCTGCCCCTGGTTGTTTTTTGATGGCAAACTCTTTCATCAGAAGTTGCTCAAAGCTGCAGGTGCTAAGAATCTCGTTGACATATGTGATGGACAGGTGAAACCTTTACTACTTAATATATATCTGTTACTATTTATATTTTCATGGATTTTGTAGTGATTTTATTAATGTTTCCAGCCAGACTAATTTTCTTTACCTTCACTTAAACACCCCTTTGTCAACCTGGTTGTTTCTTAACTGTCAGATTATTTAACTAAAACTATACGACATTGGTTTATACTGTTAATTTAAAGGTTTTTGTATGTATAAGTGTAGTTCTACTTGGATTGAACATATGAGGTGAATTTCAGGTTTGAATAAATAATTTAAATGTTTGTTTAAAGAGAGAGAGAAAGTATGAAAAGGTTGAAATACAAAAATTCAGCAGAGCATGTCAAGCATATAATCAGTATCATAAGTGTAAATGTAACCTTACTAATGTGTGTGTGATATGGAAATAAGAATATCCCATTTGTTGTGCAAAATATATGCAGGGTTGTTTAAGGGTTATCATAATGTTCATATATTGCAGAAACAACCACAGGGTTTTAAGGTTATAGTTAGGCAGAATATTTGTGTATAATTTTCTTATCAAAAGTCATTTTAAAGAAAAAAAAGGAAAGTTTCAATGAAAGTTTTTGAACCTAGATCAGTCAGTGAAACCAACAGCAGAAATACTTCATTAGAACTTTAATAAGTTTTTTTATTCATCTTTTCATTAATTGTAAGGTAGGATAAAGACTAATTAGAAAAATGATGCCATGTTAATTTAGTTATTGCTATCACGAGAAAGATTTTGTTTTGCTTCTTTGTCTCTTTAAGTTCCATGATTGACTGAAGAAATGTTTTGTCAGTGCACAGAAATGTACCACTTAGCCAACCGTATTTAATGTCTTCAGGATTAATTTGAACCACAACACGTGAATGAGTTTTAGTATTGTAACACGTTACATTTGTATTTTAGATTGACCAAGTTTCCGCAGTAGAACGGATGCGTGCAGCCATCCTCGAAGGACTGCAACCACAATTTGCATATCCACCATTTCCTCCTGTAAATCCTTCATTTGGTGGATACTATGAATCACCACTTTTACCCACTCCAGTTTCAAATCGTGGTCGTGGGCGAGGCTTTCGTTATGGACCTGGAGGTAAGTCTAGTAAAATTCCATCAATTTGTATAAAACTACTTTCAGACCACACACACATCCAAAAAAGTAACTTCTTATCCTTGAGCTTTAATCTTGAAGTAACAACTAACACAACTCCAGAAAATCAAATGATAGTTTTTTAATCTAAAATGTTAGCACATTGGCTTTTTCAAGAGTTTACAGCATCACTCACCATGAGCATTGAATAATACTTAACTGGGAGAAGCTCAAAAGAGCACAGTAGTATAACAGTATCAACATACTGTTGGTGTGGACATGCTTTGTAATCACTATGAGGAAAAGCTATTCACTGGATAGGTGAAATTCAATAGTCTAGAGTAGACTGTCGAGTGAAATATAAATTGTCCAGTATTGGAAGAAAGTGTTAAAAATTTGTGTTTGTTTTAAATAACTGTTTTAGGCTTATTGAGATGAACAACTGTTTTTATTGAGTATGGATGGAAATATGCATTGAACCTGTTGGTTATTTATATACCCAATGATTATTTACACCAAGCATCATTTTTTGTAATTTAACTAATTATCTGTATTTTTACTTTGTCGTTAAAATTGTTAGTATGTACGCTTTACGATACATTCCCGAGCTTTTTTAGTAGAACAATCACTGGGGGCAGATTTAAAGGAAGTTGTTTCACAAGTAAAGTTTAAATAGATGTAAATACTGGTATTCCTGGACAGAGGATTTTTCTATTTGATACCCTAGTATGAATCTTTAATCATCTGGATATAAGGCCTGAATGATTTGTTTTTTGCAGTGTTTTAGTTCATTGTCCTTCAAGAACTTTTGTAGAAGAATTAGTGTTTCATAACAGGATAAAAAAAACATCCGCGATAAAAAATGCATCCTATGTGTGTAGATAAGCTATCCATAATGATTATAGTCTTAAAGAACACTCAAGAAAATTAATAATGTAGGAATCATTAAAAGTATTGGGTTACGCAGGTTTACATTTTGGGAATTTTTTGTTTTTATATATAATGAAAGATTAAAAAAAATGTGTGTAACGATGATATCCTCTGTTTTTATGAATATGATAAAATTTTTCATGCATAAATTATGTCTGTTGTAAAAATATTCAACAATCAGCAAGGTATTCTAACCTTCACAAGTGTGTTACTACTCATAGACTTGTTTTTACTACAACATGGTGTCTGTTGTGTATACTTCTTCATTCCATTGTGTGTATGTGTGTGATATAGTCACAATTTATTTGGTTTTTTATAGTTAAATACTGTTTCTTATGTTCTTTAAGTAGTCATAAGCATTACAAAAGCTTTCTATTAACTTCTTAATCCAATTTTTTATGTAATTCAAAGTTGTTGTTTTTTTAAACACAACCACATAAACTGTATCATTTATGTTCATGTTTTATAGGTTGCATAATCTAGAAACAGTAAATGTGTAAGTTTAATAAGGGACACTGAAACTGTCACACTTCTTTATGTACAGTAAGTTTTGTACAGCATGGGGTACACATTTCGTCAAGGCCTGGATGTATGGGTATTTTTACTAATAGTCCTTGGAAGAACTGATAGAAAGCCTGTTTCAAACAATAGTGTTATGTTTTTCATATCCCTGATAAAACAAATTGAATTACTTCATAGTGATATCTATCCTTAAGTGTAATGTCCAGTGACATATCAAAGCTCTAAATACACTATTGATTAATTGGTATAATTTTGAGGATGGTGGGGAATTTTTAATTCATATTATTTAATACCTTGTAAATAAATTTTCAGCAAAATACCAATGTTCTAAGTACACTATTAATTAGTTGGTAGAGTATTGGTCTAAGTACCCTCAAATCCCGACTACAAGCCTAGCTGAAGTTATATTTCTTTACAACTTAATTTGTTACATAGCACATCAACTTTTAGTAACATGTATTTTATGGTAAAACATTATTTGAACAAGTAGGATTGTGTACTGACTGTTAAACACTGTAAATCATTTTATATTAGTTGAATGCAAAGTAAAACTAAGCATTTTGTTATTTTTAGGTCGAGTTATAGACCGTGGTGGACAACTGGAAATAGCAGGTGTTGTAGTGGGCAGCTGGGGAGCTAATTATGGCCAGGTACCCCCTCGTGGAGCCATGAGTAATTATCCTTAGTAAGTTCATATTCTAATATTCTCATTTTACCAAGTTATCGTAGATGAGTCATTTTGTGAGTGAAAGGCTACACAATAGGTGTTTCAGAGTTAATCAACTATGTTGTAATTATCTGTCAAAATAACTAAATGTGGTTTTCATAAATCTGTATGTATGTTGATTTTTTTGGGAACAAACTGTTTACCAGAAATACCCAAGATTTATACTTGATTGATTGCTGAAATTGTTGTTGTTATTTTTTTACCCAATGTGAAAGAGATTTTTGAAAAATTGTATTTCCATTTATGTGTTAAAAAGCTAGTTTCTCCCTTTATTGTAATGATTTATTTTTAATTCATGCTGTAAAGACTAGAAATGGTATAAAATTTACCTGGCTGGATTCTCACCCGAGTTCCTTCTACTTAATGCTGGTCTAGTACCATTTTACATTTTATTTGGAACTGATTTTTATGCATGAATTGAGCCTAAAATAAAGAATTATTTTTCTTCTTCTATTCTGTGAAACATTAAGGATCTTTATAAAGATAATTTGACTCTGTTTTAGGTCTTACGATAATCTCGAAACAGCAAATATAAAAACAGATTTAAATGAACTGAAGTTGAGTGTTCATAAGCCTAGTATTCAATTACATTTGTCTTCAGTATACACATTCTAGTTAGGCCTAGGTATTTTCATTGATTATCGTAGCATACAGGTAAGCTTATAAAAAAATGTTTTTGTATGTTAGTGTTATTGTTTTGTTTGTGTACTTGACAGGTTGTAAAAAAACTATTTATTCTTCCTAGTGATTCCCTCTTAAATATAATTTACATTAAAATATTAATTCATTATAAGTATTGCAACCCTCCTAATGTTGCTTTTCGTCTGCCTAACAGGCAAGTTGTGATAAACAATTCCTACTTAGTTTCCATGCTGAAACATCTTTAAGGTGAATTGGACAAATATGTTTTGTTTTTTTAATATCGTATTTGTTTCATTCATTGAGAAAGTATTTACAAACTGTTTAGTTAAACTTAAGCTTCTTTATAACTTGTTCCTTGGTGGGACAGTGGTAAGTCTATAGACTTACAGTGCTAAAATCTGGGGGTTTTATTCCCTGCAGTTGACACAGCAGATAGCTCAATATGTTTTTGTTCTTAAATGAAAATAAACAAACTTTTTAAATAAACTCGGAAACTAAAAATAAAATTTCCATCACACTATTTTAATTTTATTTTCCAAAGATGTCATAGAATATTATGAATCATACTTTATGTAAAACACCAATATATGAAATATTTACTGTTAAAATGTTTTTCATGAATGCCCTGATGATCTTTATTTACAGTTATGGAAACTCTAATATGGGTGGATTTGGTCGGGGAGTTGCTCCTCGTCGAACCATCTCTACAAAACTTCGCAAATCTAACACTGGAGCTATTCAGGTTAGATTTTTCTGTTGTTGATTTTTCACATTTACCATATCTGTTATTAACAGAAGTCATAGTTCCATGGTAACATTAAAATTCTTCTTTATTTTATGTTGAAGTTAATATTTCAGTTTTTCTACATGAATATTGTTTGCAGTTTGAAGAAGTCGTCACATTTACCAGTATATTTGAAAAAACATCACCCCATAAATATATTATGTTCAAGCAAAAGTACCCGTCCCCAGTGATGGGAAAAGTTTAAGTTAATCTATCAATTTAAATTATTTCATGGACTTTAAAAAACGATTAATTGTATTGCACTCTTGGTTTCACTCATAGCCAAAGCTCTGAGCTACTTATACTGTCCACTGAGAAAAGTAATTGTTGAGCATTTCAGTCATGTTAAGAGCTGCTCAACAATAACATATGATAAATCAACGTTTTTATTCTTTACGTCATATTTTGAAATGTGAACAATAGTGTGATTAATTCCTAACAACTTAGTATAGAATATCCTGCTTGACAAAAAAAAAAA